CTTGCAGAAAACAATTTTAGATATTGCCATTCTCGGGAAAAAAAATTGTCTTATCAACTTGAAAAGGCTTCAATTGAGCTTGGCATATCAACATTTTTGGCAATAATCTCTGGATCAGGGAGGAGATCAGGTTGTCGAGCCTCCCTTTTCCATATTTCGCAAGGACTCTCAAAAAATGGGGATAAGTTCCAGAGACTATTATTTGATGCCTTGTAAATTGGACATACCTCTGATTTGGACAGTCCAAATGAAGTGCTTCGAAAGCATCCCACATCAGGCCGTTGAGCCCCACGAAAGTGGCCAACATCCCATTCATAACCTGGTTACAAGTAATTACAAATCACGGATTTCAGTATTTGAATAATGGCCACAAATTCTCAAAACTAAGAGATAAAGTACATTCATAGATTTTTGTCAGCATATATAAGATGGATGACTATGATATTATGACAAAGCATTACAGGTAGAAGGTGAATGAGATAAGGCAAATTAGATGGGAAACAAAAGGACAGTAGCCCAAGTCCAAAATAGTATTAATTGATTTGTTGTCAGTAAAGAGAAACCGCCTTATTGGTCTCTCTTGTAACAGTTACAAGTTTGTTTGGTTCATAATCAGCCTGTATGACAATACATTTACTACTATTGGTGCCTATCAAAATGGCTTGAATGACTATAAATCCTACTGTGGGGATGTGTAGCTATACAAAGGTACGTTGACATGTATGTAGTTATCCTTAATGTAATATTTTAATCATTATCCAGTTCATTTGTGTATTGAGATCTAGGAACTTTTGGGATTTATGCCATAGGGGCTGCTATGGAAAGGATAAGAACCGTTGAGAGCTGGATTAAACTAAATTTGGTGCACCATCAGAATTGTTTTTGCCTTCAAATATCATCAAAGTCACATCCTCACGAGACTATATTTCCCTTTATCGTTTCTAGCAAATCTCACAAATATCTTAAATATTTCAAAAGAATGAAAAATTGACACTGCCACTTAAACGTTATACGCAACCAAGAATTTGACCCCTGTTAGACTGCCTATTAGCCTCAAAAGCTTAAGCTACTAAAGAATGGGTCAAACAATGAGTTTCAAGCTCTCATCCCCACCCTCGCATTTGACCTCCTCACACATGAAGAGGTAGACAAACAACAAAACGAAAACATAATATATATTCATTTTAGGGGACCAATACAAACAAAGAGGCCAGAATCAACAGCCTCCCAGAAACATAGCCCTCATGCTAACATATATTAATCTCACATATCTTGCTAATATTAAGATTTGTCATCAAATATAAAGTTGTCTGGTCATAAGTGCAGAAAGAAAATTTCTCAAAAGAAAGATTATGCTCAGATCCTGATTTTATTTCTGAATAAGTTTGTTTTGGTCATTCCATTTAAATTTTTCGTGTTTATCTAGTTCTTTAATCAGAAATAAGGACCATTTTTCATAACATCATTTTTATAACTAGTTCATCTTCTTCTATTTTTTTCAATGTCCATGTATCACCTAGGGTCATTAAAGGGTAATTACTAATATGGTCCCGTAAATCAACAATGGTACGAAGGGTGGACTAGAGATACAACTCCAAACCTTCGCATATTTGGAAAATGTGACTGCCATTGGATTTGAATCCACAACCTCAGTCACACCCTCAAATATTTTAGCCCCAACAGCAGCAGGTAATGGTGAAAGTGGGTCTTTATCTGAAGTCGAACGCACGGCCTTTTAACAATTTTCACAAGGATGATATTAGACTTAATTTTAATTTTTTACTATTTTATTGCTATTCTTAAGTTATAAATATAGTACTACTAGCAGGTATGCAACTGTGATGCAGGCCAAGACCTGAAAATCTGAGGATAATCCCGGGATCCCAATCGACAATTTAAAATGGCCACACAAATCTGCAATTATGCTCCTGCTTGAAGCTGAAGCAAGTTACTCTTCTTGCAACTGTATAAGTGAAAAAGGTTATTGTCTTTTCTTACTTCAACTAGTTTTCGTTATTTGAGGAGTGAGAATAGATGGACAAAGGACTGCAACATGCTAGAGCCTATGAACGGGTTATGTTCATCTCTTTAGAGTTAGTGGTCATAAAATACGAATTTAGAAGTTGCAGCCTTGGTGCTTGTTCTAAAAGATTACTATTTACTTGTCGTTTCTGTCTGAATTCTCATTCTTACCTCTTTTACTTGGTCTTCTATATACCTTAAACCATCAAAACATACCCACAAACAAAGTAATCAATTACCAGGCAAATCAATAGAATTTATGGAAGATACTAACTTTATCAAGATCTAGATGCAGACTTTTCGTTGTTCTTCTTCGATAATGGACTCTAGTTATTGGGTACCTTTAGAGAAGGTTCAAATTCAGATAAAAAGAGAAATAACTGCAATATTTTCAAATTCTGGAAAAGGTATATCACTCAATTATACTTACAACTAGAAGGGGGGAAATATTACTAGGAACATTTTGCAAGAGGGGGGTACCGTTTCTCACATCAAGTAGAACACTCTTTGTGGTGAGATCTGATGCATTGTCCAACTTATTTACTGATTCCAATCTATTCCTCCATTGAGATGGGGTGAGAGGTGTGGCTCGCATTGACGGGTCAAGCAAAGGAAGATGTGAAATCCCTCCTTCCAACTGGAGATGAAATTTTATAAGCGATAATTCTGTTAAAAAGTGAATTTCAAAAGAATATGCATTAATTTTAGAGAGAGAGTCAAGAAATGAAAACCTTTTCAACTATCCCTACTATCGATTATTAGGGACAAAAGCACACATGCCTAAAGAAGTTACCCTCTGTAGTTATTGGCACGATAAAGGAAAACAAGTCCAAGCTCTCCCACCCCCTTGAACAGTAGCCCTCATGGATGAAATAGTCCTAGAGGAAGCAAATAGGATAACTAAATTTTCTTCGAACATTCAATCATAGTTATCATCCGCTACACTTAAAATTCAATGAAAAATGCATTTTAGCCAATTCAGTCACTAGCTTTTATTTGGGGAAGAATTCAATCAATGTCACCAGGGGTGGAGATAAGGTGGGGCAGGTGCCCCACTGCAATTTTAAGAACTTTTAAGGGGATTGTTTAAATTTTTAAAAAAATTTAAAATCTTTGAAGAAACAGGATTCTATCATAAATAAAAAATTTAGACTTAAACTTCCTTTATACGACTCAATCTCATGACTCTTTCTTCAGTTTATAGTTCCCTATGCAATAACACACCAAATTATAGACCAAATCCTCCTCCCCTCCTCTCTAACTCCTCAATCGACAATAACAACCAAGGTTTTAAGAGTGTAATTATCACTCATAATTAGGCATGTTAATAGATAAGAATTTGATTTGAATCCGATCTGATTCTAAGTTCGATTAGTCAGACATGGATTAAACCAATTACTCGAATCCAAATACGTTATATCATATTCCACATATTCTAGTTTAAAGAGACCAAAATTCGATTTGATTGTGATCTTATCTAATTTATATACATATAAATGGACTTGGATATGGATTGAAAAAAGAGTCCCACCTAATAATAAAATTAATTTAGACTGGAATTTTCAAATGGGATTCGGATTTGGTTTCAATCAAAACCTAATCTAATCCAACCATTGACGGACCTACTCCCCATCAATTTGTCTGTCATGACGAACTTTAATCATTGTTGTTTGTTTTTTCTCTTCAACAAATGGTAGCCCCATGGTGGAGAGACCTTGGCTCCATCCCTAAATGTCACTCACTCAATCATTGATCTAGTTTCAATGTTAAGGGTGATCTATTTCCATATAACCCTTGCTAAAGGGATGGTCAACTAGGCCTTGTGTTGATTTTGTTTCTGTTTTTTTCAATTATTCTCCAACATACAAATTCAGCAGCCTACAATTGTGAAAAGAGTATTTTATACATGAGCTTGCATGCAAATCATCCTAATCAAGTTCATCTCACAATGCAAGCCTTCGTAACATTTAAACAAATTGGCATTAGCAGCCAATTTTTAGTAACACAAATCACATGACAATATACTTACATCCACTCTTCCAACTTCCTTAGTTAGGCTTCAATCCATCCAACAAGTGTGTTTTCTAGGCTAACCCAACCACCTTGTGCTCTAAAAATGGTCAAACCACCACACAATCCTTTTTTTCTTTGCCATGACCCAAACTACAAGTTCCTTTATCTAGGACTTAACATAAGTTTTACCTAGGCTCACAAGATTTGTTGAAGGTTTTACCTAGGATAACTTACATCCATCTACAATAGACAATGCATAATAGATTTCACTAGCATTATCCTAAACCTCCTAACACCACTACTACACCTTAATAAAAGACATATAGACTCAAATTGAGTCAAGCCTACTCACAATCAAAGCTCACATAGACTTACAAGCTCTCCTTCAACCATGCATATCTGCTAGTATGCAGTGGTTAAATGGGTGGTAGCTTAATGTGTCAATAATGCACAAATTTTACCTCAATTGAAATAAGCCCAATGTTTTACTTGTTTCACAAATTGTTGAACAAGTGGGATTTCTAGATGGCAAGAAGATGATGTAAATTTACTTTAGGCCCTCTCAAATCACTATTGTATTCTTTCTATTATATCTATATGATATTAGGATCTCAACCCATTTATATCCATTTGATATGAATGAAACTATATCCAGTGAGTTTTAATTTCTGGGCACCCTAAAAGAACAGCCAAGAAGCTAGTTGCTCCACTTGCATTTTTCCAATTTTGGAACTTAAATAGTCTACCCACAAAGACCAAGTATAATATGACCTTCCTATGATTCTAAGACTCATCCCTAAAGCTTGAAGCAGTGCTCATTGATGATGCTTCTTGTCAACCATGAAGTCTTCAAGCTTGAGATTGCATTTGCTCTTTGTTCTTCCCCTAGCTACAATACAAGTCAAGAAGTTATCAATCCTAAGGTCCTAGACCAAGCAGTGGAAACCAATAAACATGTAGCATACCTGTACCAGTGAGGGCTTATATCGTAGCTTCAATCTTGGAAATGCATGCCCCTTCGAAGCAACAGAAACTTGAAACAATATCCCAGAAAACCTATGGTCTTCTTTCAACCATTTAACATATGCAAAAGCATCTTTTGATGGCCCACTGTACTGCACAAAAAAAGCAGAGTGTCGGAAAGGATTCTAATAAGATGCTGCTCTAAGACATTCCTAAATATAAGAACACAGATAAATTACTATATGAACTGATGATTCAATAGTCTTATTTTTGTACAATCTTCTATGCACCTTGGAATAACAGCTTTTCTTTTCTTTTTATTATTTGCTAGACATCGGACCCAAAATCAGTTGGCTAAGGGTGAAGTGTCCCCTCAACTTGGGTGTACCTAAACTTCCAATGTGGAATACAAGCTCTCTCACATCTTCACATGCGACACGTTCTTGCATGTGGGCTAACAAACCAAACATATATAAACAAATAAATAGGTTGGAACTGAACTGAAACAGAACGACAAACAGATTGGAGAACAACCACTCAAGGCCTAGCTCTGATACCATGTTACTATGTTAGTGCATTCAACTCAAAACAAATTGGTTAAAGGTGAAATAGCCCCTCAAATATATAAACCAACCTTTGATGTCTCTAAACTTATGATGTGGGATGCAAGCTCACTTCACTATTATCATTATTTCCTTGATTCAAGGAAAGGAGGATCAGCTAGGCAATAGCAAATAGGAAAAAGATAAAGACCAAAGGGACTACTGAAGCTATGTATCAGACTATACTAACTAATTTATTTTGGAGTTCAACTACACATAAACACTTACACATGCATGTACACACACGTGCGCGCAAGTACAAACAAAATGTTTAATGAAACACGAATGTACTAAGACTTATCTTATCTCATCTCGCCAAAAATACATGTATATACATAAGTGTGTGTGTATATATATACACATATAGATGTATATATATGCGGGCATTTGTGCACGTGAAAGGGGGAAAAATTCATACCTGCGCATTTATCCCCTGCTCATTCAGATATATTCTTCCGTGTATGTCACGATCCTAAAACCATCATAAAACACAAAAAACAGTTGTCAATTGACGTTGGTCATCCATGCTTTAATACATTATACAGATTTTGATAACATTTTTGTAAACTCCATGTGTACTAGGCCTTTCCAGCATCAATATAGATTGCACAACAAAATATTTCATACCCTGCAACCAAAGAGTTCTTTTTGAATGTTGAGATCTCTGAAAACAACAACAATTGAATTAAAATTACATGCTTGCAGAAAATTTCAGTTTTTTACCAGAGTCTCATCATTTAGATTGCATCCATAACCATTTTCCTATTTGCAAAGCGTTGTTACTTTCTTTTTACATACAAAGAAGCAAAAGACAATTTACCCCCAAGAACACTAGATAGAGAGACGGGGAGAGAGAAAAGAACCAACAATGATTGGGAAGTATGTACATGGTAGAAAGTATTGTATGTAAAAGTACAAAGAAAATCTGTGATGGAACTCCAAGGGAAAAGGAACTCACCTACAATGTATTAGCCCTAGCTTAGCCAGAGTTTGGTCTTTCAAACTAAACTATACTTTCTGAGTTACATGAATAAAGCATGTCTTGTGAAGAAAGTCACAGAGTATGGCTTTATGAGATAATGAATCAAGAGAGAAACTGACAAATTCAATAAGCTTTTGGGATGGTTTGATTCAGCTAAGAGTAGAAGAGTAGAAGATCTCATTTCCATAAACTTGAAAAAAAAAAAAAAAGAACAATATGAAATCCAAATATATCAAGCCATCATTGCATTTAGATGATAGTGCACATGCCTTCGCACTGCCAATTTCAATATAAGGTAAGAAACCCAGAATATATAATCAAGTTTCGGTCATGAGGCACTCGTGGCCGTCTTAAAGAACCATGCTCCTCTTACTGGCTCCTTGGCTGGTTACACGTTTACATAGAATAATCTAAGGAATGTGTGTGTCTCCTTCAGTTCTTGAAGGCATCTCTCTTCTGCTCTAGAGAGCAGGTTTCGCCCTATGCATGTGAGGTTTTCTTATTCAAAACAGCTTCTTGATGTTCTTCAACACAAACTAATCTCTTTCCAAAAGGAAAGGAAAAATGCCCATTTCATTTCTATGCACTTTTTTGTTCACCCCCTCTCTACTCTCAAAGATCCACATACAATCAAGGCTTGAAGAAAAGCTTCTATCCTCGGTGATTCAATGCGTCCTTATCAGACATTTGAGAGAAGCAATATAATACCTAAAGTCTCAATTATCACATTCATTGCCTTTCTGAAGGTGTTTCATAAACCAAGAATTTAAGTATGATCATCTTGCAGACATCATCAAAGCTTGCTTGGTAGATGGGATACATGTTCCTTACCACTTAGTGATTTTGTACTAACTTCCTCACTTGCATTTCCCATTTTTTAAAGCTTCTCCTTGTAATCTCCCGAACCAATTCTATTTTACATTGAAGATTTCCTATACCTTCCCCCGGAACTATTATCATTGCATATATAGATAAAAAAAACACACTTGGCCTAGGCTTCTTACTTGAATTAAACTATAATTTCTCCAAGTTAATAGATCAGAAACTCCATCAAACATAATGTAATCAACATGAAAATTATCAATAAATGTAGAAAGAATGGAACGGGATCGGTTGAAAGAACCTGCAAAAAGGCGAGGTGTTTGGACACCTCCTCTTCTGGGTTTTTGATGAACACAAAACGGTAGAAATTCACCACTATAAACTCATCATCCCCGAAATCTCTTGACTCATCAACATCAACCCAACTGGGTTCGGAAGATGATAATGCACAGTTGAGAGTTTTTTTACACTGCCAAGTAAAGAGGCCATGTCGTTTCACTTGACACCCAGAAAAAGGCAGAGGCAATGAAGCCCTGTACCTACTGCTATTTCTTAGTACTTTTGCAGAGCGATTAGTCGTAGGCGTGTACGGAGCGAGTGTTGGTCCTCCAAAGACGACTGCCCAGCCCCTCATATTCCTAGTCCAGACTAGGTGAAACGTGAGATTGCCGTTATCCTCTGGGGGCTCATGTTTGTATAGTGGCAAGGGAAGGATTAGATTGCTTTTTTGTACCCGTTAAATTTGTACCCGGTTGGATTTGTACCGAATAAATGATAAAAATGACATATTTGCCCAAAGCCATCAATCTTTCTCTACCCTACCCCCATCCTTGCAACGCCCGTCTTCCAAATCAAAAGAGAAATGGGCTCATTAGAAAGAAAGATAAGAGTGCAGCCTGTAGAGCACATGTAAGACACAGTTGGGTGTTGCATTTGTGCTCGCCTAGAATCATGCACTTTTGGACTCATGGTTACATCTCAAAAAAAAAAATCACCGGTACAAAGTTGTCTATCATATATCTATATATATCAAATTTCCAAGCATTTTATGTTTGTTTAGTTGGCACTACCAAGAAAGAAAAAAAAGAAAGAAATTAAAGCTTAGAATATATGGTTCCTTGAATTGGAAGGTCAGCTTGTCACAAAGGAAAAGCAGCACCTAGATAACAGAACATAATTGCTCTTTCGTTTAAAAGGGGAACTTAGAAAAAAAATTATACCATTGACATTCAAGGATAATAATGAAATATAGGAACTGTGATGGTTATTGCAAAAGACACAGGCCCCACCTCAATATTAATTTTTATAACAAATCATTGTCGTAACTCCACTATGACTTTAGGTGTCACATACAGGTTCGAATTCACATAAACAGTCTATCTGTAAATCAAGATAAGTTTGTATATATTTGACACTCCCTAGACCCTGTCTGGTCTGTTACGTTGCCTTTTTTTTTCTTATAGGCTAACTCTTACCTACCGATGATGTTTTAACATTATAATTTATCAAATACTCAGTTATGGTGAAGTAACATGATTTTGGGGATATTACAGTACCAAACTAAGTGATGTCAATGCCTATTCAAACATTTTGAACAGGCTCATATCAGGCTTATCAACAGAACATAAGAAGTATCCTCTAGTAGGATAGTAGTGAAGACTGAAAATACAATTGATAAGGAGGAGGATGATCACAATATTTGCTTCTTTTTCATTAATTTTCATTCATCATAACAAAAAAAAAGAAGAGTAAAACTGACACATAAAAACACAGAACATGCAGGATTATGTGATTCGACTCAAAAGCCTATGTCCTCGGACGAAACATTTCGACCAAAAGTCGCTATATACATGATCAAGAAGATTAGAAAGAGTTCTCACAAAGCAGAAGTAATAGAGCTTATGCCCACTTTTCTACAAATTTAAAATGCATAAGCACCCAAAAACCATTGTTTTCGGATTAGATTAGATTTTCAATCTCTAATCAAATCACATATCCAATTCCTGGTTGAATCAGATTTGTAGCCCTCCACTTCATATTCTAGGGCTCATAAAATTGTCATATACAGCTCCATGGGGGCTTTATGAAGGATCGATATTATGAATCAGAGTGGAATAACACTCATAGACATTCTGGTCATGATTGAACATGGATTTGGAATGACTGAAATTTTCTCAGTTTTTTTCTTTCATTTCTTCCTGGCAACAAATCAGAAACATCATGGCATGGACTGCCATGGTTCCATCTAATTTCTTGTGATATAGAACATACATGGTTTAGACTGTAACAGTGTCTCGGGGAAAAAATGTCAAACATTAATATGAGGGAAATTAAAGATGATATTAACAAGGAAAACCAAGGAGAGAAGATAACTGAAAGAAGACAACAGAATGCCATGGCCTGTTGTTCCCTTGAAATTCCTAAGAAGATTAATGGCAGCTTCCATATGACTTTGAAAATGATGCGAAGGACACACTAAAAGAGGTAAAATTTCTTAGTAGCGTAGTCAATCAAAAGGTTCATTCTCTCCCTGACTATGGATCTCATACTTCCCAATAAACTGAGAATCCATAACCCCAAGTGTTAAAGGAAAACCAATTTAGTTGGTCTACACCGTATGTGAACAGCCTCAGTTAATCTTGTCTTTTTCTTTTGATAGGAATCGACAGGATCTTTGTAGAACGTGGAGTCTTAGCTAGCTAGCTAGCTGATACTTTCGGACATGATCAACTTAGGAGTTATTTTGGATGTTTTGTATCAATAATTTGGTCTATACAGGTCGATCTGCTATGAATCGCCCTTCCACTGGATGCTATAATGTCCTAATTAATAACTACAACTTGATCATATCCGGATTACAGCTACAGAAATCAGCAATATAACATTCACATATTAGAATTGCAATTTACTACACAATTTTCTAGCAGAAGCATAGACGGGATTGAGAACAGCAACCATCTCGCGGTTAATAAAGATAAAAAAACAAAAAACCCTCTGATTAAAACGAAAACACAGCCAACTTTTCAAAGATATCAGGAATAAACATATATTATACTGACAATTTCTGATACTCTACTGTTTCTAGACAATATTAGGAGGCTTTTTACAGGACTATCTAGGTAGTAGGTGAATTTAGAAACATTGGCTCATTTTAGTTTGCAGATTTGCTGTTCTTGGAGAAGAAGCCAGACCAGCATCCAGGCGAAATATCACTCGTCTTCCTGCATTACATTCAACAAAAATTTGTTTTAATAAATTGATGATGAACAAGAATTCTTGATGCAGTTGATTACAGATTATCGAATATGACCAATTAGAACTAAATTATCTGTCCCAATATTGAACAAATGCCTCCCATGAGCCAATCTGGACCATTCTGTCGATATCAATTCAAGGCAAGCGATCTATGTCTTTTTAATTCTGAATCAGATAAATTGGGATAATCATTTTCTCAGATGTAGTCTTTAGTGGTATTTTTTTTTCCTTTTCCTTTTTATGTTTGTTTCGCTCTCCTGGGTCGATGAAAGGATTCTGAGATCAATGTTTACTCCAATCCTTTCATGAGGTATGCGTGCAAAAATTTTCTGTGTATTATTTGCTTCTAGTCTACCCTGTTCCTTAAGCAAAGAAAGCAGATCCTTAGACTACATGCTATGACAATATAAGGGAATGCCCAAATCAAATTGTCAGCTGTACCTTACATCCTTTAGGAGTATAAACATTATAACTACTTGGGTTTTGTTCTTTTTTTTTTTTTTTTTTTTTTGGGGGGGGGGGGGGGGGCTATGTTGTGTTCCCTTTTAGGCTCCTCTCAAAGTAGATTATTGAACAAGAGAATTTGGTGAATTGTAAATGTTGAGAATAACTACATACGTTCTTCAACTCTGATACCACTTGTTGATAATCTGTTTCACAGTGTTCATGGCACATACCAACGTTGAGATTTTGTATTCTAAGTCTTGAAATTGAGCTCAATAGTAATGGGGAAAACAAAAGAGAAATTGGATGATTAACTTGCATATTTCATATCTGCTCTCTTTTTCCTTTAGGTCCAATTTGATCAATTACTTATATTTGTTGTTATTTAGCACTATAACGACTAGGGGTACTAATGATTCTGATATATATTAGTTTCTGCTTATGTTGCTGAACTACTAAAGGTTATGAATTCAGATGGAGCTTTTGACATGAGACTTCCGCCACTGCGAGGCCTGGGATGCAGTCTTACCCTTACATGCAGAGAGACAGTTTCTGTAGATAGAGCAATATCAAAGAGGTCTCATACCTGGTGCTGTTGCTCCGGCTGCTTCCGCTGCTGCCACTGCTGCCTTTGCTTCCAGTATTGTTACTATTTCCACCGTTTTCGCTCTCACCTGAAACAGAAAATCTTTTCTTCCACCAATCCTTCTCAGCACCCTTTGAAGACTTATCCAAATTCTCAGGCTTTGGAGAAATTTTTGCACATTTGTTTGGGCCTGAATTCTTTTTCTTCTTCTTTGATCCCAAAGAAACTGGAAACACCATCTTAAGAAACAATCCCCCATTTTCAGTACTTCTACTGTTCATCATTTTTACTTTCCTTTCCTTTCTCTTACTTTCTTGCCTCTTTACCTTCACTCCAACTTCATCACCAAAAATTTTCTTTTGAACCAAACAGTCTTCTTGAGGTTCTGCTCTAGGCTGCACAACAAGATCTCTCAAAGTGAGCTCATAACTTGACTCTGGCATTTTCTTGACCATCTCCATAAGCTCCCACTGGCCTCTGGCAATTGCTTGAGTTCTTGATGCAGGAGAGAGATACCGATAATTGTTGTGGTGAGGCCGCTGATGGACCGGGCTTCTAGGTGGACTAGTGTTCCACAAAGGTGGTGAACAAACACCAGACTCATCAGCCATATTCTGAGGCCTAAGATTAACCCCACCACCATTCCAATTCCCATAATTCTCATAGTTTGGAGCAGTTTTTCGGGCTCTGGCACTGTGATTAATATCCCCCCAACGGTCATAACTGTCATTTGTGTTAGAAAGTTCAGTTCTTGGATCAAACATGATGTTTGGGAAGAGGAGATTTTACTGGAAGATAGAAGGGAGGGAAGAGTGAATGTTGTTATGTAGAAAGACAGGTGTGTTATGGTAGCAATGGCATTGTCATCAATGACACCTTGGCTTGTTTGTCACTGTCTTTTCTTAATGGCAACTACTTTTCTATTGCTTTGTGTGGCTCATTTTTTGTTCTTTAGCTTATAAAAGTCAAGGATTTCTAGATGGGTGTGGGTGAGCCCATCCTTTTCCCCCAATTTTCTCGTTTTTGTCTCTCTTTCAACATTAGCTTTCAGTTTTCTTTTCCATGGGCTGGAAAAAAGAATGGCTTCTCCTTTTCATTTTCCCTCATAGAAGATCTCTCTCCCTCTCTCTTTCTCTCTCTCTCACACACACACATTAATAGGGCCCTATTGAAACAAGTATGCAACCTCATAAAAGTTGCTTTGTAGGATTTGGAGTCATTTCAATCCTAGATTACTAACTTTACATGAGGCATGAGTGAGTGCCTCAATTATTGTACCGAGTTCATTTCATTGAAATAATTCATCATTTTCCTCTTTTGTACTATAATCATAGTGTGAATGGAGTGGAGTTAAAGTTCCTTAATCCCCAAGCAGAGCCACGGAATTGTGTAACTTAATGGCAAAATTATTATTTATTATTGTAAGTTGGAGAAAAGCCAAAGATAGCATCAAACCATAAGGGTCACCACAGAAACACCTGGTCCCATTATATTTATTTTAATACGTACCATTACCAACTTCATTGTACAGGACAGACACAGAGTTAAGAAGGTTCTTTAATTTATATTTCTTATTGCTAAAAGATTAGGGGGTCTTGACGTAATTTACCCAAAAGATTAATGTACCATTTTTTTACGAAATTATTTTGTAAAGCAACAAAAAAATTTGTTATTTGTCCAATGATGAAAGCCCATTGCACTCAATTCTCAAACATATAAGTGCAAAATCTGCTTAAAAGATCGTAGTTTAAACTGTGCATGTCATCAAAATACCTTTGGATTCATGCTGCGTCAACAGGGCAGACTAATGATCTGGAGAGAGAATAAATAACAGAAGCTTGTCTTCTGGTGTATCTATCGACAGAGAATATGAGTTTGTCTTCTGGCGCCTCCCATTTCAACTGTACACACATACCCATCATAATCCCCTCTCTCTCTCTCTCTCTCTGTGAACAGTGTTGCAAATGAGCCGACCTATTTATGAAGAGGTTGGCATCAGGGATTGGACAAGATTAAATTTTATTCAAATTTCTTCATTTATAAAGTCAACTGAGCTCGAAGTAAATCCTAAAGCTGATTTAACAAAGAATAGAGCCCGGAATTTATTATTACAATATTATATATGTATATAAATGAGTTGAACTTAATCTTTAAACACGAGCATGAACTCATGTTTAAGATCGAATTTCTTTCATTTAATCAGATGGGTCATGCCCAAGTTTTGACAACAAACTAATGATCCGAACTGAAAAAATCTTTTATTCGATTCATTTGCACCTCTAAGTATGAAAGTCTTAGGTAGATCGACTAGCTTGCTATGGACACGTTTTGCTTTGCAAGTTGGTTTTCAAAAATAAGTTCAATCCTTAGGTTGTTCTTTAACTATATTTGTTTACTTTTATGGATAGTTAAACTAAATGAATGTTCTGAGAAAAGAGACAGTAGTCTAATACACGGGCATCCTGTCGCTATGAGTACGGCTGGCACGAATTGAATACAAAATTAAACAAGTTAATGGATTAAAATGGGTCAACATATTTAAATAAAAAAAAAATCATGTCGAGTTCATGTCATAATCAACTTAACCTGATTTTGATCTAATTAACCCGTATATTTTAGACGGGTTGAAATAATTCGAACACGAACCCGACCTAACCCATTTAAACCCGTTTAATCCATTTATGGCAGTATAAATTGCCTATTATGTATGACGAATGTGGTCTTAACATTATTACTTATTAATTCTTATTTCTACTATGATAATTTGCAGTATAATTTTTAATATTATTGTGACAGTATACTAGTATAGTTCTAACTTTAATTTTTGGGTTGAAACTTAAATGCGTTTTAGTTAATTTCATTGATGAGATGTGATATGTTATTTGTAAAAAAATTATTTGAAATTTTAGATGAATGATTGAATAGTATATTTAATGGTAATAAATAGGTATGGAAACATGTTATATACGCTAAACATGTCTTTACTATGTGTGTTAAACAAGTTAAACATGTCATATTATATGTGTTAGCTCGAAAACGACTTATTTATTAAACGTGTTAAACATGTCGGGTTCGAATAACTCCTTTAATGATTATGTTAAGTCAAGTTAGTGTTTACACATCTCGACATAATTATTAAACATGTTAGGTTCAGGTTTTAGAATTTTTGACACAAATTTAAAATCAACTCAACACAAAATAACCTAATCCGACACATTTAACACCCCGGTTCGAGAATTAGGCTTGCCCGCGTGTGTTCATACATTGTTTGTGAGCTTAACTATTGCGTGAAGGATTTTCCTCTTAATTAGTTGAATCATATATGTCAAGTGGTTGTCAAATCCTGTTGAACTGTTTTTAATTTTAATGTCGAATCCATCAAAATTACTGGATACTTCTTAATGTTCCTTGTTTTTTAAAGGGTAAAGTGCAATTTACATTATAAAAAATGTATGATTCATCCATCAAAATTTTGTTTCTTTGCAATTAGATTTTTCACATTATATATTCAATATAACAAAAGTGTTGCAATGTAACAGCTCTTTTAACTTCCGTTACTTATTCCGTCAATGTCATTAGGATAATTTTTGATTAAATGAAAAACATAAGTTAAACGAATGACCATAATGTGCAAAATACAAATTGTTAAATCATTTGGGGTGTAAAGTATGATTCTCTCTTTTTTTTAGTACCCAATTCTTTGTTAAAGCAAGAAAACCTTAGGATAACAATGGATTTTTGTTCTGTGATTCGTAAAAGAGCTAATCGAAAATGATTTGAGAGTAAATAAATAAATATAGGAGAGAAGTACACCCACACGAGAGATAAGTTTATCTAGGAAAAAACTCTTCTGGTATAATCTATTACAATATATTTAGGGCGTGAAGACAATGACAAAAAAATAAAATAGCTATCATAAAGTATACAATGTAATCGATATAATGTATAATTTCTACTAGAAATCATCAATCGATTATGACGAGCTCAGATCTAGATCAAGTTTGTGCTCAGTCCATAGGTTAAGCTCAAATAATCAAGAGGCATGTCAAACTTAACTTATGACATCAGTTCAATCTAAAGCTCAATAGTCCAGGGAAAGTCAATGCACATAGGAGAGCAATTATCGAAATAATCATTATTCCAAAATAGTGTATATCTCCAATTGTAGTTATTCTCCCTAATAAATTAGTAGCTTGATTTTCACGTTACCGATATAGTTAGAACTTTATGCCTATAAATTGTAAACCCCCTACACAGGGGTAAATCTCACAAACTTTACTTTGAGTATACTCTTACTCTCTCTCCTTTACTACTTTGTACTCTCTCATTAATGGAGTTCCCCGGCTACCGTTGCTACCTTCAGTGGTTACGTCACCCAGATTCTATCACCTAATCTTTGGCTCTTATTATTAATTGTTTCATTAATTATTTTATATTATAGACTCGACTGATTTAATTGTGCATAGTCGACTTGGAGCATCATCAGTTTACCTCCTTTTTTTTGTTCAATGGTCAGAAGTGTATGGGCAAACTTACGCACATCTCGACTAATCTCCTCTTCAATCCGGTTAAATGCACACTATTTATGTCGGGACTATAATATTTACGAGGGATAAATTCCACTAATATTCAAAATCAAGACATCTCAATTTATACATCATCCTTATTATTACTTAAATTATCCCAGTAGTTCCAATCGATTATCTCTGACCAACAAGGATTAATTTTCTTTCTCCTCCGCTCTCTCTTATTTTCTCTCTGTTAAGTCAACTTTTGATTTTCATCTAATAATTGTTTGGAAAATTACGTAGGCGGATGCGTGTACTTCTTTTCTAGCTTAAATTAAGATAGCAATAGATTTTTGTTTTGTACTAAGCAAATTAGCTGACAGAAGAATGAATCGGGAAGTATAAACAAAGCTAAAAAAAAAGAGAGAAGAAGAGTTGTACAAGTTTTCTCCGTACTTGTAGAGCAAGGAAGGTCCAGAAAATCCGAAGATGAGACTTTTAAAAATCCCAGAGTGTGATACAAACCGCTCTCCTATTATTATAACCCATATGATGGTAACAAATTTATATTTGTTTTAAGCAGCGGTAATGAATGGACACGAAGGAAATACTGTTTCTAAGTTTATAAAATAAAAAAATTCTGAAGTCACAGAGAAAAGAATCAGAGGAATGTTTCAAACAATGGTATTTTATTCAATGACTAATTCGTATTGCACAAAAAAATAGGGATAACCCATGTCTGAAGGTACAGATAACGTGAGTGGGAAGTGATGAATTTAAAGGGGAGAAATTTAATACGAATAGTTTTAAGAGAGATGTTGATGATCGTTAAATGATTCTATTTGTGACCGTCAGATGGACTTATTGAAGTTTATTCTCTTTTATAATTGTCACAGTAAAATTAAAATTTCTAATTATACAAAAATTACAAAAAATGAAAAAATTCAATGAAATTAATTAACATAAAAACATGTGTCGTCTGTAGTCCAACAAAATTGACGACACTAAATTCGAAATGTCATATGATTTATTATTAATTTTTGATTTATTTTCTAAAATGGTAGAAACGATGTTGAGGGCCTAAACGATAAAATTTGACCCAAAACTGAAGAAACTCATGACAAAGCATGAGTTTTGATTGTTGGTCTAATCTGTATCAAACACCACTGATCTCAATTAACTCCGACTTTGACCCATTTTGCCTCTATTATCACCTTTTGTCATTTCGCTGGGTTTTTGGCTACGCGGCGGTCTTCTTACTACAAGTATTTAGCTGTCACATATTCTACATTATTGTAATACCTTTTATTTTGGAGAAACTTTTCAACCTCAAAACTACGACATATTAGTTCAATGAATAAATCCTTGTCACCGCTATATGTTCATTTG